TCATCATCATCATCATCATCGTCAATCTACCCATGCAACCCCCTTTTTTTTTTTTTTTAAACCTTATCTACCACGCTACCACCCCATCAATCGTAGATAGGATCGCTCTGCCCTCGATTTACATCAAAATTAATTTATTCCTTTATTTATTTATTTTTATTTATTATTTTTAGAACTCACTTGAAATTCATGTAAATTCGAAAATACTTAACTCTCTCTCTTGACATTTCTTCTTCAAAAATATTTTTCGAAAATATGTAGGATTAATCATTCTTTCTTGGCATTTCTTCTTCAGAATTCAAAAATAATTTTAATTTACTTTTTTTGAAAGTTTTGTAATTAAAAAATCTTTAAAATGAATTAGATTCTTTTTTTGACATTTCTTTTTTTTTTCGTAATTTGAAATACGTAGAATTAATTAATTCTTTTTCGATATTCCTTTGAAATTCGAAACTACTTTTCATTCATTCTTTTTTGAAAATTTTGAAAATACGTTAGAATTAAGTAAATTCTTTTTCAATATTTCTTCGTTTTTTTTTTTCAAAATTCGAAAATAATTTTACTTAAGTCCTTTTCTCGTATATTTTAATAAATTTCCTTTCGAAATTCTCAAGCTTCGGGAATATTTAATTCCTTTTGAAACTTCACGCTTTTCATACCCCAAAATTCATTTCAAATAAATTTAGCCAGAATTTATTTATTTAAAATTATTATTATTATTTTTTTATATTTTCAGCATTTATTTCATTCCTGAAAATTTCGTGTTTCCAACCTTTCTCCCGCGAAATCCTTTCCGAATTTTCGAATTAATCTCAATTAAATTACTCCAAATCGGAATAATTTATTTTGAATTAATTCTCATTTTATTCATTATTGTTTTGGCAAAAACCTTTACTTATTTTTGAATAAATCAATTAATGTTGTAAATACCATCCCCACCCCCACCCCTGCGACACCTACATCTCCACATGCCACCATGCCAAACCAAGACCTCCCAATGCACAACCGCCACCGCCGCTGCCGCAGTGGCCGCCTCCACTTCATCCGCAATCGTCGCCTTAGCCACCGCATCCATTCCCCCAACATGGCCCAATCCTCCAGCATCGATATGACTGCCTTCAACACCCAGTCTGTTGACAGCCTCGCTCGAGGCTCGCGAACTTACGGGCGAACAAAGATCCGAGCCTATTGCCACCGATATCGCCACCCTCATTCGCATGATGTCCTCTTTCCAAACGGACATCCGCGCGTCCATCACCAAAATTGAAGCCAATATCTCTGGCCTATCCAACCGTGTGACCTCTATTGAGCATCAAACACTGACAATCACAGTGGTCACAACCACACGGCACCCACCTCTACGACCGTGCCCACATCCACCACCCTCGAGTCCCAAACCACTACCCCGTCCATCCAGGTAGTCACCACCACCACCCCCACGTCCACAGCCGCCTCCAGCCACACCCCCCCGCCGACCTCCTCCACTCCTCCAAACCTCTACCACCACATCCACCACCTCTACGCCCTCCACCCTTCGCCCCCCCTCATTCGATGCATCCAACACACCGCCTCATTCCTTGCCCATCCACGTCACCCCTCTTCCCCCCCCACACTCTCATACCCTTCCCCAACCCATCATGACGACCTCCACCATCCCTAACATCCGTCCCACCTATTCCCAAGTCACCTACGGGGTTTACCCCGCAATGCCACAACACCCCCCCAACTGCCTCCTTGAGGACAACAACCAACTCGACTACGCCTGCTACGACACCACCCCCGATAACCTCAGCTTCAACACCCTCGCCCAGATCGTTTCCCGCGACGGGGAAATCTCCCCCGTTCCTTCCGATCCGGCGACATCATGTCCTTCTCCGGCCTCCCCCACGAGGACGTTTTCCTCTTCCTAACCCAACTCCAAAACTCTTTTCACCTCCACCACATGCCCCTTGCCCATTGGCTCCCCATTGCCACCTCCCGCCTCCTCGACAATGCCGCCAAATGGTGGATGGCTGAAGTCAACAACCGCCGAGCCTTCGGATGACCACGTCACACCTTCCTCCAACGGGCCAACCTTTTCACTACCACTTTTCGCCCCCAGAAAACCATTGATGACTACCTAAAACAATTCTGCCACCTCCGCGAGACCGGTCCCACGGACTGCTTCGTCCAATACGTCCGCTCCCTCCGCCACCACCTCCCCACCACCATCATTCCCGACTTTGTGTTCATCTCCCGCATCAAACGAGTATGCCACAAAGACCTTGCAACCGCCCTCGCCCACGAACCCGACATGCCCCTTGCTGACCTCCTCTCTCGCATGCTTCACCACGATCGACTCCTCCACCCCCATCACCAGCCCGCGCCCGCCCCATCCCGCACCCGCTTTTTCCATCACATCACCTCTTAAGACACCACCTCCATCCGTTCCTCGGACGAGTTCACCACACCTGACCCTGACGCATCTTCCGATTCACTCGACTCTTCATCCCTCACTCCCGGGGAACTCAATGTCCTCCAATTCATGAGAATGTACCGCAGAGATCGCAACTCCCGTCCACCCTCATCTACCCCACCCTCCCGCCTCAAGAAACTCACCCCCGAGGAGCGTACCTACCTCCAAGCAAACGGGGGCTGCTTCCATTGTCGCCAATTTAGGGCACCAACAAACCAACTGCCCCAACGCCGCACAATTCACCCGCTAGTCCGCCTCCACTCGACCCACAACCTCCACATCACCGCCCTCGGCAAGCGCGGGTCCCTCCTCATCATGAACACAGTCCCCAAGACATTGTCCCGACATCGATATCGTGTCTGTCGGCCCACCCATCGGCGACGTCCTCCGTCCCACTGATGGCTCATCTGGCATCGACAATTTGTCTGCCTCCCCCCTCTCCGGTGACGGCCCCTCCACCGGACGACTCCCAAGCATCGCAAACGCCTCCCACTGCCTCATGCTCCTCTACCCTTCTCCCAAACCCATCCACTGTCACCTTCTCTGATGTTGTTGAGGAACAAGCTCGACACGATCGGCTTGTCCGCGTAGGCAACGAACAACGCCGCCTCAACACCATCATCTCAACCGCCAACTCATCTCGTTTCCACCTCAAATTCATCACCTCCACCCTTGGTGCGTCTACAACTAAGTTTCGGGCCCTCCTCGACATTGGAGCCACCGGTAACTTCATCACCGATGCGTGTGTCCGCAAAGCCGGTCTTACCCCTACCGGTTATGACTCCCCGATCACGATTCGCCTAGGGGACAAAGACATCGTCGTCGTAGTAGACCGCACGGTTCCCGAGACCACCATGACCGTCGGAACCCTACGCAGTCAGGTCTCGTTTGATGTCATGCACTTGATGTGCGACATCGTCCTAGGAACCCCGTGGCTGGACCGCTACATGCCATACGCATTCCACCCAACTTCCTTCGCCTCACCAACCCCCCCCCTGACACAACCATCGACATCCCCTATCTCCCATATCCGACCTCCCAAGGCTCTGTCACCCCGCACCAATTCCTCCACATGGCTCGCCTTAGCCCCGACTCCGCCTACTACTGTCTTGTCCTTGATCGCCAAAGTCCCGAGGACTTACTCCCGACGGACAAACCCGATTAAGCCCCCCCCTACAACCCCGCCATCACGTCAATCCTTGACGAGTTCAAGGACGTCTTTCCTGAGTCCTTACCCGCCGGACTACCTCCGGATCGTGACGTATCCCATACCATCGATTTGGAACCCAGACATTCTCCACCTTGCCACCCTCCATACCAACTCTCTGTCCCCGAAGCTGAAGAAATGAAGCAGGAGCTCAGTGAACTCCTTGAAAAAGGGTTCATGAAGCCAAGTTCATCCCCCTTCGGAACCAGCTGCCTTTTCGTCAAGAAAGGTGGAACTTCGGAACTCCGCATGTGCACAGACTTTCGCGCCTTGAATCGGATCACGATCAAGAACAAGTATCCCCTACCTCAGATTTCCGAGCTCCTTGATAGTCTCCGTGGAGCCAAGTACTTTACCAAGATCGACCTTCGCAGTGGCTTCCACCAGATCCATATCCGCGAGGACACCCACAAGACCGCCTTCCGCTCTCGGTTCGAGCACTACGACTTCGTCGTGATGCCATTCGGACTCACCAATGCCCCCGCTACCTTCCAATCTACTATGAACCACATCTTCCGCAACCTCCTCGAAGTCTGTGTTGTCATCTACCTTGATGACATCCTTGTCTTCAGCCCCACCTTTGAGTCCCACCTTCAACACCGCAGCCAAGTCCTCTCGATCCTCCGAGAGCAAAAATTCTACGCCAAACTCAGCAAATGTACGTTTGCCGCTTCGAGTGTCGAATACCTCGGCCACATTGTCGCCGCTATGGACCCCTCGAAGGTCACAGCCCTCGTCGAGTACCCCCCACCCGAGACCCTCCTCCAACTCTATTCCTTCCTCAGCCTTGCCAACTATTACCGCCCGTTCATGCGCAACTTTTTCGAGATCTCTTACCCTCTCCACGAACTCACCCGCAAGGACGAGCCCTTCCATTGGAATGATCGCCGCCAACATGCTTTCGACTTACTCAAGCAAACCATCACCACGGCCCCTGTCCTTGAGATCGCCGACCCCACCTGCCATTTTCTGTCATCACTGACACCTCCGACTTCGCCATTGGAGCCGTACTGTCCCAACATATCCCCCGCAACACCGTCGAGACCCCCTCCATCGAGGACTCGCCCACTCACCCCGAGGCTCCACCTGGGGAATTCCCCATCGCCTTTGCAAGCAAGAAGCTCCTTCCCGCGGAGATGAATTACCCCTCCAACGAGAAGGAAATCCTCGCCGTGATTCATGCTCTCACAGTCTGGCGTCCGTACCTCGATGGGCAATACTTCACCATCCGCACTGACAACACCATCGTCTCCTCCATCCTCTCCAAGAAAGATATCACTCCACGCCAACCCCGCTGGCTAGCCTTCCTTGCCCAATTCACATTCACCGTGTGCCATACCCCCGACAAAAGCAACCGCGTTGCGGATGCCCTCTCTCGATGACCCGACCACAAGCCTCCCGAGAAAGTCTACTTCGCCATGACTCATATCCAACTCCTCCCATCACTCCATCACCAATACACCCAAGGCTACCTCTCTTGCCAAGACTTCGCCACCATCTACAACAAGCTCCGCGATCTTGACCCAGTCCCCGACTACTCCCTTCACGACAACCTTCTCTACATCGATACCAAAGGCACTCGCCGGATTTGCATCCCCGACGCACGTGGTCTCCGTACTCAACTCTTGGTCGAGCACCACGACGCCAAGACCGCCGGACACCTCGGTTTCCAGAAAACCTTCAACACCATCTCCCGCTTCTTCTATTGGCCTTCCCTGCTCCGCCGACGTCAAAGCATACATTCGCTCATGCCCCACGTGTCAAGCTGTCAGCCCCTCGAACCGGGCCAAACCCGACAAGCTCCAATCATTACCGATCCCAACTCACCGGTGGCAGTCCATCTCCATGGACTTCGTGTGCGGCCTTCCCAAGACCGACCGCGGGCATGATTGCATCTACGTCGTTGTCTGCTGCTTGACCAAACGTGCCCACTTCGTCCCTTGCACGACCTCGCACAGTGCCAAAGACGTCGCCACACTCTTCTTCGACAGTGTTGCTCGCCATCACGGCCTCCCCGAGAACATCATCAGTGACTGTGATCCTCGCTTCCTCTCACAATTCTGGAAACACCTCTTCACGGCCTACGGAACGACGCTCAAGTATAGCACTGCATTCCACCTACAGACCAATGGACAAACAGAGAAGATGAACGATACACTCCAAAGAATCCTGCGGAAGTATTGTCATCCACACCAACACGATTGGGATCAGTTGCTCACAGCCGCCGAGATTGCCTACAACAACCCCGTCTGCCCTTCCACGGCCATGTCTCCATTCTACCTCGACCTTGGCTACCACCCTCGCTTGCCCTCTGACCTCTTGCTCCCTTCGCAGCTTAACCCGTCCACCCCCTGCCCCTCTCTCAATGAATGGGTAGCGACAATGAACAGACTCCTGAACGAACCCAAGAACAACAAGCCAACAAGACTAACAAACGTAGACACGACGTGTCATTCGAAGTAGGGGACAAAGTCTGGCTCTCCGCCAAACGCTTTGAACCTGAGCACGGCTTGTCCAAGAAACTCTCCAACAAATGGCTCGGTCCTTTCCCCATCATTGAACAAACCTCCCCCGTCAACTACAAACTCCAACTTCCCCTTGACATGAGTCGTGTCCACCCAGTCTTCCATGTCGAGTACCTAAAAGAATATCATGAATCCCCGCCCCAGTTCGCCGACCACTCATATCCTAGACCTCCACCAATCATGCTACCCACAGGCCCTGAATTCGTTGTCGAAACCATTATCGGCCGACGAACCACTCAGGTATCTGATCAACCGGAACCAATCACTGAATACAAAGTCAAATGGACCGGATACCCCGACGAAGAATCTACATGGGAACCTCTCTCTAATCTTAAGAACGCCATGAAACTTGTTCGCGCCTATGATCGTGCTAATCCTATGTCCTAGATACCTATATAACTATGGCATAAACCCTGCTACAACCTCGCAACCCCGCTCTACACACACCCTTGACCCAGTCCACCCTCCCCTTGACCTTCATTCCTGATGTCTGATCTGCCCTTGCCCTCGCCTAGCCTTGTCCCATCTGTCCTCTCCACTACCTTGTCTCTCTTGTCCAATGCTTGTGAACCTGTGTGACGCCGGCGATAAAGGATCTAATGGCAAGCGCACGAGGACGATGGCCTGCTGCCTCACTGTTCATGGAGATTATGCAGCTGGTTTGGCCACCATGCTGTTTCATCGGCCGGCATCCCGACTCGCGGACGTACTGGAGCAGCAACTTGTGACATGGATCTTTGCATCAGTCTGCGACTTCCTTGCTTCCAGATCAGACCTC